TATATACGTATTTTGAAACATGTGTATAGTAAATACATACTTTTAAAAATAGCAAGTGACTTGAAATGAGCCAAGCTAAGAAACACAGGTATAGCAGAAAGCATGCTGACCTGAGAGCCAGGGTACTTAGTTTCTCTTTTTTGCCACAAGCTCACTGAAAAGCAGATTACATAAGCTCATTGAACCTCAACTTCTTTATCTGCAAAAGGAAGAGGTTATGATAGATCAGGACAACTCAGCGTTGGCTATTTGTTCTAAATGCCTGGGAAAGGTTTATGACTTCCAGAGTTTGAACCACAACCATACCAACTGCATCAGGATGTCTGGGGACTGGACTCAGGTGAATACTTTGCATCATTCCAAGGTGACGCCTGTGTGCATCTAAAGTCAGGAACCACTGCACAAAATGACTCATAGAGGCTTTATGGATCTTTGAGTCTTTGATTCTAGTAGATGATGCCGATAATTGCATTGACATATTTAAAAAGTCCATTTAGGCATTCTGTGTGACATGAAGTAGCCTATTATCATCATTCACTGATTTAGACAGGCAAATGTATATTTCACGATCATTACAAGTGCTGACGATTTGAACTGGGCAGACATGGTTTCTTCCTTCTATAACTAGCAATGTAACAGAAGCGCTAAATAAGCACACGGCAGTGTTTCTGTGATGGACAGCCTTAGGGTAAGAGCACATATGAAGAGCACCATTTGTAAACCTCAGATGTATTATTCAGAGTCTATAAATAAAAATGAAAACATCTTCCGTGGGCTTGGTGTTCTATCTTACCTAAGCTGCTAGCTTACGATGATTCAGATTTCATCAAACAGAAAAGCTAGTGGTGTGAAGATTTCTAATTTGAATTTTGACATTCAAACAGTCCAGTGTGATCATGAAACCATCTTCCTACTGGAAGGCCCTTTTGGAGCTGCCACAGTGCTTACAGAAGATTTACAATCTTCTTTAATTCAGAATAGTGATGAGCCTCTTTTCAAGGATTCAACTAGTGATGCATGTCATTGTGTTCAGATAAGAAATGGACTGCATACTGGTGTTCTAAGACCTTAGAGAAATGCTCAGCACTGTGATTTACATAGAAATAACCAGACACAACTCAAAAGCAAGCAAAAATTTCACTTTAAGAGTAACTCTTGGATTGAATAAATTTTTCTTAGACAGAATTTGACCTAAAAAGCTAAAACAGTCATAGACATGGCTCAGAAGGTAAAGGTGCTTGCCACCAGGACTGATGGTTTGTGTTTCATCCCTGGAATCCGCAAGGCAGAGGAAGAGAACCAATTTCCACAAGTTGTCCTCTGGTCTTTACATATACATTGTGGCATGCAAGCCTGAGCACCAGTTTAGAATAGCATTTGTACACACATATGCACACGCACTTGTGCACACACATACTCATGCAAGCATGAGTGTGAACGTATTAATAAAACTAAGAAGTTAAAACCACGTGACCACAGCTAAGCCAAATGAATTCCATTTTGTCTTTTAGAAAATAATGGAACATGGTTAAGGTAGTGATACACGGGAACACTTGAAGGAATTTATAATGCAGTAGTTCTGATGAGTAGCGTAGCAATCAGGAAGTGTACAGAGAATTTCCAGACAAATATTCATTGAATGCTAGCATTTCAGCATGAGAATGACTGCTGTATTAATAATCTCAGCATATGGCTAACACATGAGGGATATGCAGACAAATATTAATATTCCCCAGTCCGGAAAATACTTTCTGTAACACCCCCTCCCCCGTTCACCCAGAAGCACAGGCCACTTGGCACTTTCTCTCACAGAGAAATCTTGTGGGCTAGGTAACTGAAGGATGGCCATATAAGGTCTGTGGTATCTAAGTCTCTGTGACTTCTCACACAAAAAAAACACTCAACCAATTTGTTTTTCTGTTATTTAAATAATATGAATGTTTAGCGTGAAGAGCACTACTATCAGTTCATGTAGGTCCCCCCTGTACTTCCTGGACAGTATCTCTCATGCATTCTGAAATCCCCTCAGAGCCTCTGGTATCAGCTGCTCACCCTGTGTGTGAAAGCCCAATGCACTTTACTCTTTTCAGTGTCCTGTCATCTTGTCAAAGTCAACATTCTGAATGGATTATGACAACCTCCTTGGGCGGTGGTGGCTCATACCTTTAATCTCAGCACTTGGAAGGCAGAGGCATATGGATCTCTGTGAGTTCGAGGCCAACCTGGTCTACAAGAGCTATTTCCAGAACAGCTAAGGCTGTTGCAGAGAGGAAACATGATCTCAACCCCCCCACACCCAAAAAGCAAAAAAACCCACAACCTCCTTGTGATGCCTACCCATCTCCTAGACCATCAGTTCTCCTACCTCAGTGATGGTTCCTGGTTCCATAAGCACCCTCCTCCTCCTCCTCCTCTCCTCCTCTCCTCCTCCTCCTCCTCTCCTTCTCCTCCTCCCCTTCCTCCTCCTCTTCTCGTCTTCCTCCCCTCTTCCTCCTCCGTCTTGTTGGGAATGTGAAATTGTCCTGGACTTTTCCTCTCTTTACAGCTTTGTTCCCAAGGTCTGGTAAGTTGCTAGCTCTTCATTTCCATTCCAACTTTTTCTACCTTTAGCCCTCTGTTCACAATTTCACTTCTCAGTAATTATAAAGCCCCATCTAAGTTCCCTTTGTCACTGATGTCACCTCTATACTCCAGACTGACTTCTGTTGTCAAGAAGTTCCCCACAAATGGCAGTCTGGGTCAATACCTGTGAGATCAGGAAGCGCCATGCTTCTCTGTTGGCTCCCTCTGCTGAGCATAGGCATGTTGGTGAGAGCAGCAGCAACTACTGGTATGACTGATCCAGGCCTGGGACAAACACTCTGTTCACTTATTATTGAAGACTCTTACAACAGCCCTGCAGAGAAGATGCTACTATCTCTCTCTACAGATGTGGAAACAATGGATGTGTGTGTTTTAATGACTTGTCCAAGACTTGCAGCTGGGATAAGGCCTCTTCAAGTGCACCCCTCCTCCTGGGGCAAGTGTTAGGCCACACTGCTTTCAGAAAGCTTGCATTTCCAGTTTTGTTTTTTGGGTTTTTTTGGGGGGTTGTTTTGTTTTTTCGAGACAGGGTTTCTCTGTATTGTTTTGGGGGCTGTCCTGGAACTCGCTCTGTAAACCAGGCTGGCCACGAACTCATAGAGATTAGTCTGCCTCTGCCTCCCGAGTGCTGGGATTAAAGGTGTTCGCCACCAACGCCCGGCTCCTATTTCCAGTTTTTGATCTAATACTCACTGAACCTTCTGACATAAACTTACTGCTTAGTGTTCTGCAATAGATACTTTCTACTTAGGAAGGGCCAATTTCTGCCTCTCACATAGCTCATACTAACTCTCTCCTCCATACTTTTACCCAGTATAGTCCTTACCCTAGGAATGCTTTCTCTTTTAACTGCTGTTGATATAAATGTCACTGATTCTTGGAAGTCCAGAGGAAGTTCAGTCTTCAACACAGAATGCTGACCCAGCAGGGGATGGGTATTCCTACTTCTAGTATCCATGGGCTGGAGAGCTGCCTCAGTGGTTAAGAGCACTGGGCTGGTTTCATTGAGAACTTGAGTTCATTTCCCAGCACCTACAGGGTGGCTCACAACCATCTATAAGCCTAGTTCCAGGGACTCTAATGCTCTGCTCTGGCCTCCAAAGGCACTGCACATGCATGGTGAACACACATACATAGGGACAAAGCATTCATACACATAACATTAAAATAAATCCTGACATTTTTAAAAATGTTATCATCAGTACTCTGTAACTTAGTTCCGTCTCTCCAGTTGGACATGAAATTGGAGCAGGTTGAAAAGATTATGCAATTGCTCTACAGACCCACAGAACTGTGTTAGGATTCTAATCTGGGGCTGTGGGATGACAGATGTTATTTGTCTTCTGTGAAACTGAGTTTCCTCATCTGTAAAAGATAAGAGTCCTTGTTCAGGCAAAGTTGTTACACCAGTTTTATAAGACAAAGACATATAAAGCCTGTTCTGGGGCCAGCCCTGGGCTTCCGAAGTGTTTATGAGTTTCCCTTCCTCTTTAAGGGCAGGACTATGACTCACACTTAAAAATGACTGTAGCAAGGGTGTAGCATGTGTTTTTACTTGCATAACAGGGCATTGAATTACTTGGAAAGAGTCTGAAAAGCAGGAGAAAAGTATTCCAAGTGTCCAGAACCAATCTCAGTGCACTGGAAGGAAAGAGGGTAGGGAGTGAGAGTGGTTTGTGAAGAAGCCTTGGTAGTAACGAGTGGAGAGAATGCAGAAATTTGGGCAGACATCTGTGCATGTGTCTTCCTGGCAGCCAAGAGCTGGAAGCCACCCAAGCATCTGCTGATGGAAGATGGGTAAACACAATGTTGAATGTGCATACGGCGGACTGTTATCCAGCTCTTACGAGACCCTGATCAAGAAACCCTGATCCATAGGACAGCATGGCAAATCTTGACAGCATTATGCCTCATGCAAGGAGTCACTGACAAAAGCACAAGGGTGCCTCACACAGATAAACCCCCAGGGGAGGAAAAGAGAATGGCCCTTACCAGGTACCAAGGACAGGAAGGGTGGGGAGTCAGTGTTTACTGGGAGAAAGCTTATTTGGGGATGAAAGATGGTACTGACTGTATAATACTGTGAGAGTGTTTAATATTACTGACCTGTACACCTATGTCAGCAGGATAAAATCGTGTATATATTTTGTCCCAATAAGCAAAAACCTTGAAAAGAAGAAAAAAGCAAAGAGAACAAGGCTCTTCTAAATTTTCACCCAGAGGCAAAAGCATACTCCTCCCTCCCCCCGCCCCCCACTAAGCAGATTCCTGGGGGATGCGGAGGACACAACTAAAGTGGCATTTGTCATTGCATCATCAGAGTCCTACTAGTTCAAAGTACAGATGACACAGGGAAGCCCAACTCCAACGCCTTAAACTAGTTAGCAGATGTCCTGGCTAAGACAGCTAAATATGGCTGTGGTTTTCAAACTTTAACAAGAATCAAAATCATTTACTCGGTTTATAGGAACAGGTGGCTGGACCCTGCTCCCAAGTTCCCGGTTCAGCAGGATTGAGGTGGGGCCTGAGAAGTTGCTTCTAGTCATTGCTGTAGTGTGGTGTCGGGTTGCCCGGACAAGCAGATGCCCTCATACACTCCCTCCATAGCTGACTCTTCCTTGTTCTTTTTATCCACACTTATCTGCGGGTAGATTTTCCCCATGATCGCTGATGTCTGCTGAGTCTCACTCCTGCATGATGCATGGTTAGCATGTTTCATGCCAGCATTGTGGGAACTCCCAACTGGATCGATTTTGAGTCGATATTTCTCACAGTCCAGTCACTCCGTCTAGGTGTGCATTATGTGGATTGGCTGGCATGTGTTGACTCCAACTTCCCTGGAATCAGTTCCGTTTCCTGAGGGTAAGGTGAAAGGGAAGAAGACAGTGGAGAGACTGCCTACCCCGGAAGGGCTGCTTGAGTTAGGGAGAGGACAAAAGTCCATGCTAAGGAGGTTAGAAATGACACTTAAGCCACTGAACAGGACTGGCATAATAGTTCAGGAGGAAAAAGGGGTTGCTTTGTTTCCTGTTGCTATGATAAAATATCCCAACAAAAGCCACTTAAAGGAAAAAGGGTTTGGTACAACTCCAGTACGGTCCATCCATGTGGCAAAGTCAAGCCAGTCACATAGCAACCACAGACAGGAGAGCCATGAATAAACACATGCCTGCCTGCTAGTGTTTGGACCACTCCTCCCTTTTCATTGGGTCCAGGCCCCATCACTTGAAATGACTCCACCCACAATACCAATTCCTACAGGCCAACCTTATCTTGATAATTCCACAGTTAGATTTCCTTTCCTGATGATGTTACACTGTGTCAAGTTGACAATCTAAACTCCTCGGGACAAGCCTGATGACTGGCGTCTGATCCTTGGAATTCATGGTAGGAAAGAACCAATTGCAGAAAGTTGTCTTTCCATCTGCCCTTGCAATCTGTGGCATACCCATGCAGCCCCCACACCCTGACACACACATACATCCACACACACCCTGACACACACACCCCGACACACACATACATCCACACACACCCTGACACACACATACATCCACACACACCCTGACACACACACCCCGACACACACATGCATCCACACACACCCTGACACACACATACATCCACACACACCCTGACACACACATACATCCACACACACCCCGACACACACATACATCCACACACACCCCGACACACACATGCATCCACACACACCCTGACACACACATACATCCACACACACCCTGACACATACACACACATTCACACACTTTGACACACACACATCTTGACACACACATACCCAACACACACACTTTGACACATACACACACCCTGACACACACGCTCACACACTCTGACACACACACATACATACACACACCCTGACACATGCACACATATGAACATACCCTGACACACACATACATCCACACACACCCTGACACATATACGCTAATACATACACACACACACGCACACACGCACTCTAACACACACATCTTGACACACACATACCCTAACACACACACTTTGACACATACACACACCCTGACACACACACTCACATTCTGTCACGCACATACATACACACACACCCTGACACAAACATCTACACACACTCTGACACACACATACACCCTGACACACACTCACACATCCTGACACACACATACACACATACCCTGACACACACACTCTGACAGAGCCACACAAACCCTGACACATCCACACACACCCACACATACATGTACACACACATACATCATACACTCACACAATAAAAGACATGTGAAACCCAGTGAACTCCACATGATTATAAGCACAGGGCAATGCCATTGGTTTCCGGATGGCTCCTCAGGCAAGCATTGAAAGATGCCTGGCCCCACATCCATGAGAGAGACAGCTGAGTGTTTCTTCCTGGCTGCTGCCCTTCAGAAATGCCCCATCCCTCCCCAGCCTTTAGAAATGCCCCATCCCTCCCCCAGCCTTGAGAAATGCCCATCCCTCCCCCAGCCTTTAGAAATGCCCCATCCCTCCCCAGCCTTTAGAAATGCCTCATCCCTCCCCCAGCCTTGAGAAATGCCCCATCCCTCCCCCAGCCTTTAGAAATGCCCCATCCCTCCCCAGCCTTTAGAAATGCCTCATCCCTCCCCCAGCCTTGAGAAATGCCCCATCCCTCCCCCAGCCTTTAGAAATGCCCCATCCCTCCCCAGCCTTTAGACATGCCCCATCCCTCCCCAGCCTTTAGACATGCCCCATCCCTCCCCCAGGCTTTAAAAATGCCCCATCCCTCCCCCAGCCTTTAGAAATGCCCCATCCCTCCCCAGCCTTTAGACATGCCCCATCCCTCCCCCAGCCTCTACCTTTCCTTCCTTTCTTCCTCAAACACCTCGCCTAGCATGCTGCAGTCTTTTGTGCTTTTGTTGATCTGCTCTGATGGGGTGGCAGCTCTGTGAAGGCAGAAATCTGTTTTCTGGATTCAACACTGTCTTCCTGGTATCTAGGAAAGTTCCTAATAAAACAGATGCCTGATGGATGCTCATTGGATGAATGATTTGCTATGAGAACTCACTACCTTTGCTTAAGCCAATTCTTCACTATAAATTCTCTGATACTGTTTCTCAAACTTTCCAAGTTTAACCAAGGCTTCAGCTCTGTCTTAGGCCATTTTCTCTTGCTGATAGCACAAGGTAACAGATAGGGTGCATTTTAAAGAAAAGAAGGGCATTGTGGCATGTGGTGGTGGTTTCCTCACTGGCAGCATCCCTGAGCAATGACAGGTATCACACACCCTGAAAGAGTAGTGTGTGTGTGTGTGTGTGTGTGTGTGTGTGTGTGTGTGTGTGTGTCCTGATTGTCTCTCTGTCTAAAAAGCCACTAGTAGCCAACAATGGGAATTCTACCTGATTGCTCTCTTCTAACCCTAGACTCCTCCCAGAAGCCTGTTTCATCAGCATCATGGTCAGATACCCTCTCCTCCTCACAAATGACCTGCAATGGAGATTACGCTTTAGCTGAGTTTCAGAGAGAACACACTCCATTCTAACTACAGACGTCAAAGTCATTTGACCTCTTCCCTGATTGTCAGCTGGGAGCTGCCACCATGGGGCTGAATTTCCTAGTATGCACAGTAGCATCTACACAATCTGGAGCAAGACTAATGCACAATGCCTCAGTCATCAAGAGCTTTTCCACTGTATTTTGTGTTTGTGTGGCCTACGGCATCCAGTTGCCATGATGTATCACAAACCATGTGTCCTTTCCACTTTTCCCCAACTGTTATCCTCTAGAAGCCAGCGAAGAGTTATTAGGCTGTAGGCTGTAAACTGAGGGAACAACATCAGATGCTGGGATGCCAACAGAAGCCTGTTGGATCCAGGCCCTGAGAAACAGTGACGTAAGGAATCCGCAATTCCAGTTTGCTGTTTGTTACCAGAAGGAACAAAGAGCAAAGACTGTCTCCTGCAGTTGGAAACCATGCAGCCATCTTTCCTCACAACGATAAAGTAGAAAGTGGTGTGGCTTGCCTGTGTCCTAACTGGCCAACTTTGTTTTGAGTGTGTATGTATGTGTATCTTCATTTCATTTCATTTACTCTCTCTCTCTCTCTCTCTCTCTCTCTCTCTCTCTATATATATATATATATATATATATATATATATACACATAGGTAGGCAGGTATATAAATATAAATATATATACCTGCCTACCTATGTGTATATGCATCAATCTATCTATCAGTCTATCTATCTATCTACTTACCTACCTACCTACCTATCTATTAGGCAGGCCTTTCACTGGACTAGAACTTGCTAAGGAGACAAGTCTGGCTGACTAGTGAGCCCCAGTGATCTGCCTGCTTCCATCTCCCCTGAACTGGGATTATAGACTTTTACCAATTCCCCAGATTTTAAAATTTTTGTTTTGTTTTTATGTGAGTTCTGGGAATTGAACTCAGGTCCTCATGCTTGCAAAGCAGGTGCTTTACTGGGTGAGCTGTCTCCCCAGCCCTTCCTCCGATTATTTCCGTAGTGCTCTCACTAACTTGCTCTCCTAATCCATCCTTAATGACAAAACCTCCCATCAGGAACTCTCGTTTAAGAGTACGAACTCTGTGCTTAAAGGCAAAGGGGGATTTGAGCAAAGACAACACCAAATCCACTCTGGGGTGACAGTGAAAGCAATGCAATTACCACAGAGCTAGTCAACAACCAGGCCCAGATTAGCTGTGGCGAGCCTGCCAGCCAGCCTCCATAGAACCTCCTACCCTGGGTCTACGTACAGCAGGACCAGCTCGGTGGGGCCACTTCCGAGACACTTGGCAGCTCTTGTTGTCACGAAGACAGATTTGCAGCTTCCTCGCTTAGCTAAGCTCTCCGCACAGCCTGAATACTGGGTTTCTTTTTCAGGCTCTACCTAGACAAACCATCTGGCCTGACAAGTTCTCTGGATCTCTCTCTCGGAAGAAACTATCTATGTTCATGAAATTGCATATTTGTTTTTATCACTCTAAGGAATTCGGACAACCCAACCACAATAAGTCACATTTACAGATAAGATCATTAGATCTGGGATTTTCTTGTGGCAGCCCACAGAGCTGGCTATTCTAATGATAAAGAAACGTTCAGGTTTGTGGCCTGGGTTTTACTTACCCAGAACCTGACAACAAATATCTGGGAAGTGTCACAGAAGAATTTGATCCCTCAGGTGAGTCACCCTTCTCACCAGCTAGCAATGTGGGCAATGTTTTCAAAGGCCTGCTCAAAGCTACTCTCCAGAAGCCCCTGCCTATGAAAACCCTCTTGCCCCTAGACTCCTTGAGAAGTCCACTGCACTGATTCTTGATGCAGTAGCTGATGTTTAATGAGCCTCTGCTTCCTGAGTATCTCTTCTCCTAACCCTAAATCCAACTCTGGGCTCTTTGAGAACAGAAGTCACATTAATATCACCAATATAATCATCACAGTGTATAGCCCAGCTCAGCTTCTCCATTAAAACACACTGATTGATTATCATCGTCAAAAGAAACCCCTTCAGGTTTGGGACTTATTGATGATGGAGCCCTCATGATGACTGATGACAGCATCTTTACACAAGGGCAGCATTTTAATAATGGATATTCAATATCAAATGTGATCTGCATTCTATATCAGCATTGATCTGAGGAAGCAGCTGCCAACGACCTCCTGCATTCATTTCTTTGGAATTTGATAAATTATTCTCTAAGCAGTCAGAAAATAGTTTTGCCTGTTAAAAAGAAATACTATGAGGAGGCCCGAGCTTCAGGCCCAGAGCAGCATCAGAGGGAGGCCCAAACCCCATCCCAGAAGCAACATCAAGGGAGCCACCAGCTTCAGACCTGGGAGCAGTGTGAGAAGGAGGCCCCGGCGTCACGCCCAGGAGAGAGGAGTGATTACCAGGTGAGATGACAGCAGCAGTTTCCAGCAGTAGCTTCCAGAAACTATCACAAAAAACTCCTCTGGGAAAGAACACCTCTGCCATTTCTCAGTTGGAGACACCCCACTACTCCATAGACCACTGGACTCTCAGCACCACCTACACCTTCAACAGGAGGAGCATCTACCAAGCTGTAGTCCCACCTGCACCTCAAGGAGCAACCACCTGAGCACTGGGCCCACTTCCACCAGGAGGAGCGTTCACCAGAGGCTCTGTTGTGCTTGTGCCTGAAGGAGCAGTCAATGGAGCCACAGTCCCCAACTATACCCATTGGAGAGAGACCCCCTGAAGCAAAGCTCCACCCATACTGACTAGAGGAAGAGATGCGTAGATAACAAGGTAAGAGCACACTCGACAATAAAAAGAGCAATACGGCACCACTATAAACTAGTGCTGCTACAACAGCAAGACCTGAACACCCAGCACAGATGAAGCAGAAAAAAAAACCTAAAACTAACTTTATGAGGATGATTGAGGCCCTTAAAGAGGAAAGGAAAATAATCCCTTAAAGAAATGGAAGAAAAGACAAGCAAAAAATTGGAAGAAACCGACAAATCCCTTACAGAAAAATCAAGAAAAAGCAATCAAACAAGAGAAGGGAGCAATTCAAAACTTGAAATCTGAAATAGATGAAATAAAAAAAAACACAAACCGAGGGAATTCTGGAAATGGAAATCTGGGTAAATGACCAGGAACCACAAATGCAAGCATAAACAACAGAATACAAGAGATGGAAGAGATAATTTCAGGCACTGAAGATACAATAGAGGACATAGATTCATCTGTCAAAGAAAAATTTAAATCCAACAAATCCTTAACAAAAAAACATGCAGAAATCTGGGACACCATGAAAAGACAGAACCTAAGAATAATAGAAGTCCAACTCAAAACAGAAAATATATTAAACAAAATCATAGAAGAAAACTTTCTCAACCTAAACAATGATATGCCTATGAAAATACAAGAGGCTTAAGAACACCAAATAGACTGGATCAAAAAAAAAGTTCCCTCGACACATAACATTCAAAACAATAAACACACAGAATAAAGAATGTTAAGAGCTACAAACGAGAAAGGTCAGGTAACATATCAAGGCAGACCTATCAGAATTGCATCTAACTTCTCAATGGAAACAATGAAAGCTAGAAGGTCCTGGACAGATGTTACACAGACACTGGGGGACCATGGACGCTAGCCCAGATTACTTTACCCAGCAAAGCTTTCAATAGCCATAGATTGAAAAATCAAGATATTTCATCATAAAACCAAATTTAAAAAATACCTATCCACAAACCTAGCCCCACAGAAAATACTAGAAGGAAAACACCAACCTAAGGAAATCACCACAAGAACACAGGAAATAGATGAGCTTACAGCAGCAAACCCCAAAGAAGGGAACTGAACACACAGTGCCATCACCAACAACAAAAACAAAAATAGCAGGAACTAGCAATCACTGGTCATTAATATCCATTAATATAAATGATCTCAATTAACCTATAAAAAGACACAGGCTAACAGATTGGATATGAAGACAGATCCTTCCTTCTGCTTCATACAAGAAACACACCTTAACCTTACAGACAGACATTACCTCAGAGTAAAGGGTTGGGTGTCGGGGAGAACAAGCTGGTGTAGCTATCCTAATAGCTAACAAAATAGACTTCAAACTAAAATCAATCAAAAAAGATAAAGAAGGGCATTTCATATTCATCACAGGAAAAATCCATCATGAGAAAATATCAATTCTGAACATCTATGCCCCAAACACAAGGGCTCCTGCGTTTGTAAAAGAAATCACAAACCAAGCCCCACACACTAATAGTGGGAGACTTCAACACCCCTCTCTCACCACTGGACAGGTCTGCCAAACAGAAGCTTAATAAAGAAATAAGGGAACTAACAGATGTTATGACTCAAATGGACTTAACAGACATCTATAAAACATTCTACCCAAACACAAAAGAATATACTTTCCTTTCAGCATCTCATGGAACCTTCTCAAAAGCAGAATACATACT